GGACTCCAGTATATAAAGACCTCATCCCCTAGGGGCGAAGGAAGGCAAAAAGAGAAGGATGGATAACCTCTGCTCTCTAGCTCTCTCATTCTCTATATCATTCTCAGCTCTCCACTAAGTGCTAACTTAGGCATCGGAGTGACCTCACCGGGTTAGCCACCCCGGGTCCTTTGACATTTGGTTCCTTGCAGGCCTCTAAAAGAGCAACAAAGCTCATCAAGGTAGCTCACCACCGGGCAGCTCATCAAGGTAGCTCACCTCCGAGCAGCTCATCAAGGTAGTTCACCACTAGGCAGTTCGCCACTAGGTAGTTCACCACCAGGCAGCTCGGCACTAGGCAGTTCGCCACTAGGTAGCTCGCCACCAGACAGCTCGCCACCAAGGAGCTCCATTTCAGCCTTTGAGTCACAGGCCACTTCGGAGCAGACGAGATGACGAGGTACTCAGCCAAAAAATTGACACATCACGAAAAAATGATACGTGATCGGAAACGGTTACATCAGATGCCACATACGAAAGTAGCTGATAGACATAAAAATCTGCCATAGATCTCTGTTTTCTTCTTTTCTTTTTCAATGGGATATCTCCTAGCATTTATTCTCTCATATTAAACCATTTATATACTAACTTCATTGTCTAGAAGAAGACTCCTCCACATTTAGATAATAAGATAAATACGATCAATCTCAATAACAGACCTTGACAGTGGATTGCGCTTATCTCTGGTCCAGGTATTTCTATAACATCATCACTTACTAATGAAATCCTTGATGAAGTAACGACAAAAGGAAATGCAAGAGGTGGTGATACTAGAGATTTTTCCACTTTAATAAACCTTTTACCTACAAAAAGTAAAACAAAATTAGAAAAGATCATATGGAAATATGACCCTGATCTCCTGTCTAGTTAATATTTTAACACATCTCCTGAGTTAACAATAAACATGTAGAATCAAAGCACGTAAAGACTCTTCATCACAAAGAAACCATCCCTTGCATGGATTCTTACCTTCTCATGCAAATATGATGTGGAAGAAATTCCCAATCTTGTAAAGGATGTCAATGGTTACCTAAAGCAGAAATATACTACTTGCTAGAAAAAAAGAAAAAGAAAATTGTTCAGGCATTTCCCCAAGTGTCCAGAATTTGGCTAGTTCTTGACAAATCTGTTAACACTTGATGTAAGAAAGAGAGAAAATAATAGAAAATGTAGATATGTATTGGGTAGTCAAAATTGTTGATTGCTCTGTTTCCTTATCTATTTATAACTAATGGAGTTATGAACAATGGCTGGAATACACCTAGAGAGGGGCTAAACAGAAAATAAAGAAAACAGAATGGTGAAACAGGATTCATGCAGTTGACCCCATATATTTGGGGTAAAGCAATAATCGGAATCTGACTCCGATTCAGGAATAGGTGATTCCAATTACTTATGTATGCTATGACAAATTTACAGGGCCCATTTTCAAAAACTTCAAGGGACTGCTTCATGAGCTGTGGAAGCTTATAATCCTTTAATTCTTTTTGAAGGTAAAGTATTGTATAGCAAAAAAGAAAGCCAAATACATTAGCCTATGTACCATGAGAACCTGTACATTGGGAATTTACAAAAGGATCTGAGAGATCAGTTAAAAAAAGGTCCAGCTTGCAAAAAAGATAAAAACTGAACACCAATAAAAGCTCTTTGTACACTTAACCAAGAACATAGAGAACCTAAAACTTTGTTCTTGACTGAAGCTATATCATTAAAATGATTATATGTTCTTTGTACACTTAAACCAAGAACATATAATCATTTAATTTTAATATTTAATACAGATGTTAACCTAAATGAGCCTCAAGCACAAGACGGATTGTCACAGCATGAGCCCAGTGGATCCCTAAAACAACAACAAGATGGGATTCCATTCTTGGAAGGTCCTTCATGCTCTCATCATTGCTCCGCACTGCATATAATGAAATATGATGTAGAGAAGTTTTGAGCAGAAATGTGCAAAACAAAATTATCACATCACACCTTGGAAGGGATAGTGAAAGGAATCATTGCTATTTTGACTTCTGGCTTGGTTGGTCACAACAATAGGAATTCGTGAAAACTCTGCAAGTGACCTATATATTAAAAAAAAAGATTATCATTTAAGTAAAAAAAATCCATGAACAGAAACTTGTGGAAACATGGTAGTTAAATTAACAAAGATAAATCTTACTTAACATAAGAAATATGCCAGCCCAATGGATGTAGTTTAGGAGCCTTTAAGTCCTTATCACTTTCCCTGGAAGCAAAATAGTGAACAATTTTCTATTAACATAGTATGATAAGACAACAAGAAATTGGTAAATAGTGAACAATTTCTTAAGTTCCGGGTTATGATAGCTCCTCAACAAAGTAACAAGTTGAATTGTAAATTTAAAGCAAAGCTTGCCTTTTCTAGATCCAAACTAAGTTTAAACTTTGTCTCTCTAGTCTCCACCACCACAATCGATCAAGTTCAAATCCAAAAATTAGAAGCCATTAAGGCCATGTTTGGTTCAATTCTCATTCTTTCTCATTCTTATACCCAAGATGAAATTCTAAAATAGAAAAGAATGGATAAAAATGGGCAGAATGAGAAAATATTGCTATGAACCAAAAACGTTTTTCCTAAAGATGAATTCTTTTCAGACTGACTTGTTAGACAGTTGTATGCCCTTAGCTCCAATCAAAATGATGTACATTATGAATTTATTGTAAATGAATAAAGTACATATACGCCCTTACCTCCAATGAATAATGTACATTATGAATTTATTGTAAATGAATAAAGTACATATTTGATTCATGTTCCTATGGGTGTTTCTGTGTAATACCCTTAAACTGGACACTTATGAGACTCGTGTTAGTTTAGAATGTTCACAGCCATTGGATA